ATATATATATATATACACACATACACACATATACATACACACACACATATATATATATATGGAATCTCAATTGTGCTGACCTAACTATCAGTGAAAAATTAGTTGGGAAACAAAATTTAAATCCTGAATCCAATTATTCACTTGCTCTTCAGAATATTGAATAGAAACAGGACTTTTATATGTGTTCACAGAAGCATATGCATCTCAGCATCTGTTTCCTTTCCTTGTATTAATCTTTAGTGTTGCTATATTTATTTCTGAGGTTTAAATGATTTTATGTAGGCGTGAAAGACTATTCAGTACATCAAGAAGAACTCTTTTGAGAAGTCTGATGAAATATGACAAATTATGTGGATCAGCAGTCTACAATTGAATTTCTGATTCAGAAATGGAGTCAAGCCAAAGCATCTTAATGTGCAAAATAGCTTTCCCTTTTCTTTTTCTTCCATTAGTATAGCAGTCAACCTTTGGGCTGTATATGAATGCTACTATGTTTAAACTACTAAATATAAAGATTTATGATTCAAAGTTTTAAAATACCAGTGTAAAGATTATATGGGTTATTTACATCTCTTCTTGTTCTTACTACTATTATTTTTCTTTAGCTTCATTTGCAGCATGAAACAAGTGCCACTGAAATGGAAAGATAAATACAACAAAGGGAACAAAGGAATTTACTTAATGATTTGAGTGAATTAAATGGAAACTCCGGGGTGGGGGGCGATAGCCAATACTTGAAAGGTGGCATCTCCACATCTCTGACCTGGGGTCCCCATCCTCTCTTCCCTCTCTTCTGCTGTCTATTGTGTTTACTTACTTTTCCAGTACAGGCTCTCCCCACCCCCTTGTTGCAAGCTGCCATTAGGGTAATAACAGCCATAGCAAGAATGAGTGGCTTGTTCCTCCCTTTGTAAGAAAGTGCATTTAAGCCAAGGTGACACAGGAAAGAAAGTGTAGGAGAAAAAAAAAAAAAAAGCAAATGAAGGAAAGTAGAGATTGAGGGAGGAAATACCTGAGCAAAGCAAAGTAAAGATAGAGAAGGAGAGAAGGTGGGGGGGGGGGGTGGGGGGGGGAGAAGGGAAAGAGGACAAGGGAAGGGAAGTGAGAGAAAGGAAAAGGAAAGAATGATGAGTAGTGAAAGGAGACAAAATTGTGTGTGTGTGTGTGTGTTATCTTGTTAAAGGTTTACATCTTTATTGAGCTCTTGGATATTTCAATCAGTAGTTGTTAAATGGTTTAAAAAATTGAGTTTAATATGAAGTCTTAATTTTACATTTAACATACTGAGTTACCAAGTTGGTTTTCTAAACTACCCTGAGTACATCTTCAAAATAAGTTTTCAAATATTCAACCATTGTCTTTTTTAAAACTCATTTGTTCTCATATATTTCCTTAATTCTAATTAATTATAATTTACTATAGGATTAGTGAATTATCTTGAGTATATCTCTTCAAAAATATTTGTAAAGTAACTTGTATATTAAAACATCCTCTGTAAACTCCTTGAAAGTCAGGATTGCGATTGTCATATGCAGGTCATTTTGTTGTTATCTATTTCCTCACCTGAATTACATGGCTACTCAATGATACAGAGAATTTACAAGGAAGGAAATAGAATTAATACATCAATGTTCATTGACAAGCATTCCTACCAGAAAGAATGAATAAGATACTATTTACAATTTCATCAAATATTTTTGTCTTGAAATGCCGAAGTCATTGATACAGTGGGAATTCATTATCAGACTACCTGAGGTTTGGAGAAAATCTGTTATTAGTTCAGTATTATTCCAAAAGACAGTTCAGATTTGCCAATTCTAGAATGTGATAGCATTCCTTAGAAAACTGAGATAAAGAAAGCTTGGAAATAGGACCATATTTATAAAAGTTCTGCTTTGCAATTGACACCTCTAACTTCTAAAGCTTGCTTAAAATAACTAAAAAAAGGGCACATTTAACACTCTCTGTGACAGCATAGCTGAAAGTCTCCTGAAGTGTTAAAGAACAGTTGACTAAATGTTATTCCATGAAGGTTGAAGGCAGTAGCATTAGTCTGTCACCTGACCTATTTCTCTCACTTCATAAATTTAAAATAAATCAACAGACAATGGTTTCCCTTTCCCTAGTTATTAGCAACACATAAAAAAGGAGAGATCACTCTCTTTTGTTGTCTATTTTCACAAGATATATCGAGTACAACAGGTATTAGTACATCCACCTCCACTGCACAATATTAGTAGGTTACCTACTTCCATAAATCCTTCCTCTTCTTCCTTTGCCCATAGGGGCCATTTCTTCTAGCTCTACCATGTCCAAGAGAATGGTGCAAAAGTCCATCTCATATTTATCTTTCTGCTCTTGGAGATAAACTGTATTTTATAGGAATTTCTGATTGGCTTATTTATAGTTCTTCATTAGAAAAATCTTTAGTAAAGAGGAATACTTTGTTTCTTTAAAATTATAATCTTCTCAAAAAATATATTTGTTTTCCAAGTGTACCACAGCTAGTGCTAGAGAAAAAGTAACACATCAGGTTTGACGTTAAACATAATGCATTATCAATGAATTGCAGCCCAGAAAGAATTAGCCTGTTAGGTGCACAGTATCTCTGTCCTGGCTTCCAGCCAGGGCTGATATTCTAGCCTTATTGTATAGGTTTTCCCAGCTCTTTTCCAAATCTGGGTAGGCAGCACTAGCTAGAATCTTCTAGTTTGAACACAGCATGTTAATACTTCTCGGTTCTTCCTGAGTAGTTGTTACTGTATGAAGCAAAGAAAGTTTGATTTATGGATTTTATTCTCACTCTGTTTCCCACTCAGACAGAATGTTCAGGAGAGCATATAAACATTAGATATAATAGGAGAAAACATTTTACTGGGTTAGCAACAGTTATTTAGCACCTTTAAGAAGTAATGAAACATCAAGATTTAAATAAGAAATTAAGGTTATTTGAAATCCTATTATAGAATAATGCTTTTGAAGGGAATACAATATAGACATAACTGTTTTAATAGTCAGATAAAATATAAAAGTTTCCCTTTTCTTCACATGAAACTATTTATAAACATGCATTTCCACTTTGGTTATCAAATATTAGAATAAGAATGAGTTTTACATATTTGCATATAAAAGTCTTCATGTATCTTAGTTTTTAAAGGAAATTACTTCAATGCACACATTTCTTAGATAACTTCAGCTGGTAAAAACGCAGTTAATATGCATATTGCAAATTCATTGAAAGGAAAAGATACTAAAATTCTCATGACATTTTTGCCTCTTTTAAACTTAAGAGTTATGTCTAACTTCCTATGTCTAACGTCCTATGTAACATCTATGTTTTCCCTTGGATTGTTTTCATTTTGATGTTAATAAGTCAGACTCATTTCAATTTACTTCAAAGAATTTTCTAGGTATTATTGTCAGTTTAGCCACATGACAGGAAGATGAAGTTAAATAAAAAAAAAAAATCCTCCATAGTGTCCAATTTCCAGAAATCTTGCTCATTAATTTATACTGAGACTTCTAGCAATGTAGTACTGTGTGATCTGGGTCATCTTATTGCATATTTGTCAACAAACTGAGTATCTAAACCTATGTGGCAACTATTTTGTACCTACTGATAACTAATTCTCTTGGAAACTTAGACTTGTTAGCGGTCTTTATATTCTCTACAGGTATATGCTTCAAGAAAAACCTGTAACCAGCATAACACTTATTGGCATATAGCTGATTTACTTTTTTAACAGAAGAACTTGAAATTACCCTTTTTAGATGAAAAAATAATGTAAAATATTTGTGGGGAAAAACTGCCTCCCAGTTTTGGGGAAAATGCAAGCAATTAGAATAACTTTTGTCTTTATCAATTTCCTTTTGTTTCAAGAAGCTAACAGTACTTAAATCATGGAGTTCAAGTTGAGAAAGTCAATCACTGAAATAATTAAGAAAGCTCATTGGTATTTTTGTATGTAGTTTAGTTTAAAACAATTATGATCTTGAGTAAATAAAAAATAATCTGATAGATACACTGGGAAAGCAAGCACAGGTAAATATGAAAGTGACATGATCAGGTATAAACTGATAAACTTTTAAAGAATATTTTAGCAATCTGGATAACCTAGCATAATAAACAAGAGATATTATCATTTGAAAATACTATGCAACTAACTCTGAAAAACACATTGTTTAATGAACCAGGACAATTTACAAGAGAATACTTTCCTTTTTTATTTACTTTTCTCCAACAAATATATCAAAAGAGATAAGTAAAATATTTAAATGATATTTCTTATTTTTTACTTCATTCTTTGAATGAGGAAGTTGGAAGTGTTTGCATATAGAGTGCAAAGCTTATTTTTGTCCTCCTGAAAATGTATGCTTATGGTGCATGCTATATATTGTTCGATGAATTTATTTGCCTTTCCTAATAGGAGCTAGTTGGAAAGCATCAATTTCTATAAAAGCAATTTATGACTGTATCATACAATTTCAAATGTCTGTGACAGCTGTTTTTCTAAAGCAGACCATTAAAACAGAGCCTGCCTATAAATCTCAGGTCCCAAAGAGAGGAGTTCCCATCTTGAGAAATCTGAATGCTATGCTATCAGAAACACTTCTCCGGGAAGCATTTATAACCTCACCGTTAGCTCTGGATACTCAGTGTGTAAAATTTGCAATTTCCACATAAAAAAGTTAAAATTGCTATCAAGTGAGGTATACATTCTCCATATATTCTGGCAATAGTTTAAAATATTGGAAGTTCCAGGTCTTTTAAAGCAGAACTGTATTCCTATTTATAGTGCAAATATAACTTCTACAAAGGGTAGGGACAGGTAAGCACACGCATGCTGACCAGGGAGAATCAACTGGGCTTAAATCTATTACCAGCTTCTACATAAACCTTTCACAAATAAAACTTTATTGTGTTCAACCTGTTTACATAGCCAACCACATACTCACTGATAACACACACCTTGCTTTCAGCAAATTAAGAAATAACTTACCTAGAGAAGCATTTCAGTTTTTTTTTTTCTTTTTCTAACTTGAATTTATCCCGAGTTAGAAAATGAAATATCCAGTATTCAGATTCACTTGGCCCCAGGTTAATTAGTAGGAGCTTTCAGTTCACACAATCTGCCTGAACAATATTCCGAGAGCACTCTTGAGCTCCAGTCCTAGTCTCTGAACTCTTCCAGCAGACTTCTTTTTATTTATACACACATTGTCCTTTTCAAAACAAGCAGCCAGCTGGAATGATTCAAACCTCTGTTCAGCATACCGTTAAAATTCAGCTTCCTTCTTGGACACGAGAATTACCCCGGGGAACGAACCCGGTACAGCAAAAAGGCTATGAGAACTATTTAATCACCGGAATACCAGCTGCTCCTTCTCTGCTGCGCTGCCTGTTTAGCGTAGCGGTCTTGCCCTCCCTCCCTCTTTCTCCCACATCTCCAGAACTATAAAGGAAGCTCTGCCGGATTATGATTGGCAGAAACAGCCAATTCCTTCAGCTAATCATCCTCAAGACTTTCAAGGACCTGGAGCTGTTGTGATGTCATCCAGGCAGCGGGATGTTACACATGAATACATTCCAACAGAAGCTAATTCAGCCATCAGCTGCATTCCTCTCCACTGTGATTGATTAGATGCTCCTTGAGGATTTGCATAATCTCTCATTGTACAGTCGGACTTGGACAGTCGGACTATTTCCTATGAAATTCGAGAGTAAAATTCCACTTTGCAGCTACGACCCTACACCCACACATTGTGTCGGGCAAGAAAAAAAAAAAAGTTCAAGACAGGGATTTCTGATATCAGTGTTCCCGGGCAACACATGACATATGGAATCAAAAAAACAGCTGCAAGGATCGGTAAGAAACTTCAGAAAATATTAGGGAGTTACCTACTCCAAATTAAAATACCATTTCTACCATAATAAATGTTAGAAATTTCTCTCTCTCAATTATGTTTGTGTGTATACTGTATAAATTGTTTAATTGAGGTAAATTATTGGATTGTCTTCTATGTCCAGCATACATAAAAATTACTTTTATGACTCATTTTTTTTAACTTGGAAATATAAGATGATTATCTGCTCTTTGTTCTCTTCTAACTCATGTTAACTCATAAAATTATTATTGATTATAGCTATTCACTTTACTTAAAGTTATTTTGAACTCCATTCAACTACATAAAAGAAAAGTGATTTACAGACATTTCTTTATTCCAGGTTATATGATTCTCTGGGCTCTTCTTGATTTTGTACTTCCATTAATTTTCCTCATTTAATTTAGGTGAATAAGACATGTTAATGGGAATCCAGCCTAAGACTCCTTACAGGCTAGAGAACAGAGCTACAAACTTGTCTCAATCTCAAGTACCTGGCTGATATGTGTGTCTCTTTGGTCATAAACAGCTTGAATTACTGAGGCGATCACCACTCTCCCTTCCAGTATTCTGCAGGTTGAAGTATGTTCTTCCTTCAAAACACAGTATTGTTGATGATATAGTCTTTGAATGAATAATATTAATTTACCCAGTAGAACTAGCACAGTATTACTGTATGACAAGTAGGTCATCAGCAAACTACAGACATGTAATAGAAAAGGATCAAAAAATTCAATTAAAAAGATCAAACAGTTATGCTGTAACTATCACTATTAGATCATACATGACTTGTCAGTTTTTTTCAGCAGCATGACCTAAAATATATAATAAGTAAGTTTTATCTTATAAAAATGTTCAGCAGAGGCCCTCCCTGGTGGCACAGTGGGTTAAAGCACAGCACTGAGAAGTTAAAGCCACTTCAGCATGAGTTCGATTCCCACCTGCCCTGGAGGTGACCCACATGGCGCAGCAGACCTCTCCTATCTCGCCTGTTGTTCCCCTCAGCAGTGTACTTTGTCGATCTGCCTGTTCTGCTCCCCACTCTGTCTCTAGTGAAGCCTCTCGCTGCCCCTGAGCCTCTGACCTGTACCCCTGTATGCACAAATAAATAAATCTTTAAAAAAAAAGATTTCTTTAAATTCTTTAAATTTTTTTTAAATTCTTTAAAAAAAAAATCTTTAAAAAAAAGTTCAGCAGAGTCCAGAAACTACTTACTTTATTTAAATTTAAATAAATTGCTTTTTCTTTTCTTTTTTTTGCAAAGGTCAAATAAGAATTTCCTGGTGACACATATCAAAATTCAAAATACAATAGCAGTCAAATATTTTGATAACTTAATTATTGTGCTAAATACTAAATGCTGAGATAAAAATGAAAAAAAATAAAACTGACTGAGGATTTTCTATTTTCTGTAGTGCATCATATTAATAATGCCATTTTATTTATTTAAGTTTCAGCATCATTCTTGTCTTACCTGCTCAAAAAGGAAAATACAGCATTTATTTATAAATATTCAAATCTTTATATTGAAACCACAGTGGCTGAGATGGCCACTTCCACTTTGTATTTCTGCTTATTTTGCAAGATCAGTGGAATGGGCTTGCACAAAGGGACAAAAATCCCTCCAGCCATTGTAAGCAAGGGAGAAAAAAATCTTTTTTTCATGAATTGACATATTGTGTTCTATAGCAAGGGCCCAGAAGCATGTTTGCTATTCTCTAGGTGACATGGCCTTGCCTGTGCTGAAATAACCTTGGTAGGTGGAACTAAGGCACCTACTCATGCTTAAATGGACACCATTCAGAAGAGAGGAATGCCCTGGAGCTAACTTCTAACTACACTATGATTTACAGACAACAGCCAATCAGATGTTACCAGTTTGCATTTTCTCTATTTGTTCTTCAAGTCCCATAAACACTTTCCAAAGCCCTATTCAGGGAGACTGGTTGAAGACCCTGCTTTCTGTCTCCTATCAGGTGACCTCAAATTAAGTTGGCTCTTCTCACACAGGACAGTGGCCTATGTTATTGGATGCCTGTGTCATTGGGTAGATCCACATTCAACAGCACTCCTGTTGACCTATTTCCACTTACAACTGAACAAAGAATGCTGCTTAATTTTTCATTTTGTTATTGTGAATTTACTAATGTCAGCTACTGGAACAAATCAACAGTGCAGTGATCTTGCTCACAAAGCTGTGTCATTATGTCATGGGGCCAGATTTATAACCTCAACACTGCTGATAACCATCACTGGTGTTAACCAATTATGAGTAACATTTGTTGATCAGTATTTTTTTTTCTCCAGGATTAATCTATAAAGAATGTTTATAACTGCAGAAACATCATATATCTAACAGACACTAACTTTTGAAAACAAGAAAAAAATCCAGAGGTTATGAATTCAAACTTATGGTAGGAAAAGGAAAAAAACAAGATGCTCACTTTACTATTCTTTTCCTATTGTTCATTCAGAATTAAACTAAATCCTGAGGACAGAAGGTTCTGCCAGATCTATGCAGGTATAAACAATGAAAACAAATTACAAAGTGTTCCCTGTCTCCTTTCCGGGAAAGTAGGAGAAATTCCTAGTAATCATACAAAACAGTAAAAATAATTCTGTAATTATCTTGAATAATTGTCTTAATCTTCCCTACATATAGAACATTTTCCAATAATTGAAAAAAAATACTTATGAAATGATTAACTTTTATCATTTTCTGATCTATTATGTTGGGGAAATTAAGTAAATAGCTTTAAGGGTTCTAGGAAGGGACTGGAATATTCAAAGAAGACAGAAAAATTATTTTCTCAAAATCTTTTTTAATTGCTGAACCTGTGTTCTACAATTTACAGCCTCTCACTTAAATCAGATGAAGCATCTATCTAGAGAGCTTGCAATAACAGACCTCATGCAAGCCATTTGTCCTGACTGCTTAAAGTTGAATCCTATTATTTTTTATCTGCTGTCCCATAAACTGCAATGTATTTTTTTCTGAATCTATAAAGACATAGTTTCAGACATATACTATGTCCTCAATGGATTTTTATTAAATTGAAATGAATTTGTTGAACAAATAAATTTTGGAAATCCTTCATATTTTTATTCAATTGCTATTAAAACCACTTTTTCCAACTGAATTTCCTGAAAAGGTCAAAAAATACATCCTGGTAAATCTTAAAATTGTGAACTCAAAAAAAAAAATGAAAATAGACATTTTAACACACATTTTAAAGTATGTATACACATTTAATACACAACATAAAGTATGTATCAGTGCCTATTTATTCAATAGAAAAATAAAAAAAAGACATGTTTATTAAAAAAGAAAATTCAGGCCCTTCCTGGTGGAGCAGTGGTTTAAAGCACAGCACTACAAGCTAGCTGCAGCCATTTCAGTGCAAGTTTGATCTCTGGCTCCAGAGGTAACCCACATGGTGCAGCAGACCTCTCCTGACCCACCTCCTGCTCCCCTCAGCAGTGTTCTTTATCAATCTGGCTATTCTGCTTCCCACTCTGCCTGTGGTGATTCCTCTCACTGCGCCTGCCACTCTGGCCTGTATGCCAGTTCTGTATGCATCAATAAATAAATCTTCAAAAAATAAAATTCATTTTATTATATCTAATTTATTTAGCATGCCATGTTGAGAGTAATTATATTTACTAATACAAATACTAGGTTTCAGAAAAAGTAAACTTAAATACTTCTAAACTTTCTGTTTATCATTTTCTTTCTCATTACCTTCTTTTTTATTAACTGTTACTTTTTTTTTTTAGGTATACAGAACTGCAGTACAGGTCACAGGTGCAGGATCAATGGGAAGATTCACCAGAGACAGAGCGGGAGCAGAGTAGGCAGACTAACCAAGAACACTGCTGAGGGGAGTGGTGGGAGAGACAGACAAAAACATTTTTTTTTTTT